TTGGCTAATCAGAGCAGCTTTATTCTTAACGAGCTTGGGGCACCGGATCTGGAGTGAGACCTGTTTCAGCACAGCAAAAGCCCAGGAGCAGCCCCATCGCCGAGGAGCTGGTTCCTCTGCCAGCCATAAATGTTTCAGACTTTATTCAGCATTAGTCCCCTTAAAATAAAGGGGGCAAAGTCATACGTCAGATGGCTTCGCAGCCATTTAGAAATTAGCTGCCACATCTACGATTCAAAAAAGATTTAAAGAGAAAACACAGGTTTTGCTCTCGATAACAGCTTTGCTGGCCAGAGAGATGCTCTTGCGGGTGCCAGCAGGATGTGACACCCCTGTGGGACCCTGTCATCGCCATACATGGCCAAGAAACAGGCTCAGAAGTCGTAAAAAAAAAAGCAAAGCAACGCACCTGCTCGTGCCTCCCAACACCCCACGGTTTGCCCACGGCTGTGTTTGGGTGCCCTGCCCGGCGTGGGGAGGGCAGGGGACGGCGGCTCCCTGCAGCCCTTTCCACGGAGTGTGTAGGGGTAAAGAATAATAATAAAAGTGCTTCGCTGTAATCCAATACAGCTGCTTGATTTAACAGAGGCTAATTTCTGTAATTAACTTTGCACCAGGAAGACATTAGCGTTGCTCTGAGCTGGGGTCAGGTCTGAACGACTTCACCGAAGCCTTGGGAGTGCCCACGCCTCTGCATAGACTTAAGGCACAGTGAGACTCGAGCCCAGCAACGACCAGCTCTTAAGAGACAAATTAATTGAGGCTGCAGTGACCTCCTGCGTGCAACGTGCCCCGGAGGACCTGCTTTCCTCTGCTGCCCCCAGCAGCTTTGGTCCCTCCTCCGCCAGCTCCAGTGAGAGCCAAAGGCAGCTCTTTTCTTTCCTTTTAATCCCATTAAAGCAGAAGCAGCCCCGCTTCAGGCTCCTCCAAGGCAACAAAAAAGCAGATAAATCCTGCAGAGCCACCACCAGAGAAAGTCGGGTCCCTGCAGCCATCCCGGCACGAGCAGCTCTGCCAGAGAAACCTCTGAGCTGCAGGTGCAAGAAACCAACTCGATACCACAATGCTTTCAGGCTCAGACTCTTTTCTGACCTCTCTGCTGTTATTTCCGACGCCTACACATTCTCCTCACCCTCAGGACTTACGGGTCGAGCTTGTAGACGTACTGGCCCTCGGGCAGGCGCTCCTGGTGGAAGGTGTGTAGGCCAGCATGGTGCTGATGAGGTTTGCCAGCTGCTGCTTCTCCTTCAGGCTGTAGAGCTGGGTGTTCACCTGGGGAGGAGAGCATCACTCATCCATAACAACCTCTAAATATCAAAAAAACCACCCTAAAGCACAGGGTTTGTCTCTATGTGAGAAAGGACAGTTAATACCCGTGAGGTTCAGACCAAGTTTAGTTTCCTATTAGGGACTCTTGCATCAGCTGCAATGTCAAACCGACCGCAAATTCGGGACAGAGGTTTGGGATAGCTCAGCCTGGGCGATGAAGCACAAGGGATGTGTCCCAGCCCTCACAAGGAGGTGACGCATCCCCCAGGCAGGCCTCCTGCCACCACCACAGCAAGACGGGGCCGGTGGGCACTCACCGGTCGAAGCTTCGGGGCGATGATGTCCAGCAGCAGACAGAGAACCTCCAGGACGAGAGACTGCTGCCCGGCGCGGCTGCGGGCGCTGGGCGTTATCCCTGACACCATGGACACGACAAGGTTCTGCGTGTAGTTCAGCTTGGCCAGGGCCTGGGTGGGGAGGGAAGGGAGAGCTTGGACACAGCTGCCACCACGGACATGACCCACCGTGCCCTCCCCGGTACCTGCCTCGTGCTGGCTGCTGGGATAAGCGAGCCGGGGGATGCTGGTGGCCGCAAAGAGCAGGTGGAAAGCCACGGGCAGGAAGGGCAGGTATCGCATCAGCTGGAAGCTCTGCCCGTGCAGGACAGCCCGGCTCAGCAGGTCGGAGAAGCCCAACCACTCCAGGGCCAAGCACACCGAGCTGAAACTGGAGTCCCGCAGCTTCATGTTCAGGAAATTCTCATAGAGACCCTGGAAGCGGACACAAGATTAGAGATGGCTCAAGGTCGGGCACACGGTCCCGTTGGAGCATCCCACTGAGCTCAGCTCCAGCATGACACCCCAACGCTCCATCCAAAATCAGCAGGACCCTGCTGCAGGGAGGGATTTCCTGAGGCACCCACCAGCCACGGCCACCCGGATCGAGAGCTGCCCTTGCTCCGGCCGGCAAAGGAACGGGCCCAGCTCTTCCCTCCGGTCCCAGCTCATCTACCTGGGCCAGCTTCTCCTGCTCCCCCGAGGAGACAGCAAGGTGCAGGATGTGGTGGAAGCGCTGGGAGGACGCGTTGAAGCCAGTGATCCCCCCAAGGTGTGAGAGGTCGTCGTCGCCCACCAGGAGCTGGGGTGGCAAAGCGGGGTCCGTTCCTATCCTGTGCCTGGGGAGAGCCCGAAGGGAAGAGCTCAGGGTACCCCAGCCTTGAATGAACCAGCAAGGAATATCTAGACCCTTGCAAACTGGACTGATGGCAGTAATGATGCCAAATTATCAGGCCAAAGAGCATCTGGGCACACAAATCTCCAGGGCAGACCAGCTCTGCAGGAACTTCCAGGTTCCTCTCCAGGAACTTCCAGGTTTCTCCACTGCAGGTCTTGCAAGGAGGTCAGGGAATACGACGAAGCTGTGTGCCCCATACAGACAGCAGACTTCATAAATCCCTCCCTTTTACCTTTGGGCCTTTGGGAGCTGGAAGATCTCTTGCCAGATGGAGAAGAGCCCCTTGTTTTGGTCCTTCAAGCCGATCTTCATCGTCTGCACCATCTGCACGCTCAGCTCCTTCTGGCCTCGGCCGTGCAGGAACTGCAAACACAGAATCACAGAATGTCAGGGGTTGGAAGGGACCTCTGAAGATCATCTAGTCCAACCTCCATCCCAGCACACCCAACCACTACACCACAGCCTCAAGTGCTAGATCTACCTTTTTTTTAAACACCTCCAGGGTTGGTGACTCCACCACCTCCCTGGGCAGCCTGTTCCAGTGCCTCACCACTCGTTCAGTAAAGAACTTC